GGGGGGAGGGGACATTAGAGTGTAAGCTCCTCTGTACAGAGACTGATGTGACTGGCTCAGTGTACAGCACTGCGGTATATGTCGGCGTCATGTGATGAATAACGAGGGAACATACGTGAGATATATGAGGAATCTTTATTGATCGGTTGGAGGCTTTTCTGGGTACATTAAAGAGAACCTGTCACCTCAGAGGAAGTCCGGCCTGAGCCCCGGGAGGATTATATCTTCTGCATATCGGACACTCGTCTGCTGTGGGGGGGATAGGGGGGGAGGGGCTTTGACCGCTCTGATTGTCTGATATGATTCTTGATCTTCAGTACACGGATGATCCGATATCACACGTGTGTGCTCGGCGGGTTATCTGTCGGGGAATATTTAGAGTTCATCTTCTCCTCTGGCGGCCCCGGGACTGTGTCGGGTATCGGCTCTGAGCTCAGGCCGCCTCCAGGGGGGTCTGACAAGGAGTGAACGCGGAGAGAATATTAGAACAAACAGCAATCCCAGAGAGAAGAACAGAAAGGAATCCCGTGCTCGGAGATTTCCTGCTCGTTGTCATGTTCATCCGCCAGCTTTAGCATGTTGTCAGATCGGGAGCCTCCTCGTTCCTCCATGTCCGGTGCTGGAGGAGGCCAGGCGGGCTGGTGCTTCTCTCTGATCATTCTACTGAAGGAGGGACGAGGGGGCGCTGCGCCAATGTTCCCGGTGACATCAGACCTCCTCTTCCCGCCATTGATGGGCGTGTATATGGCACAGAGAGCCTCCATGGAGGCCAATCACATGGCTGGAAGGAGGCTGTGACCAATCTGTTCTCTGTGACCCCCAAATACGGACAATTCTAGAACATTCTGTACATATATATATACATTAAATAGAAGACGTCGTCCGGCGGTCCTGCGCCTTCATCTCGCGGTCTCTGCGCGCCTCCCTCTGGCGGCCTCCATCAGCTGAAGATATATTTGTATTGGTTGAGGATCTGCTCTACAATCTTGTTCTGGAAGACCATGTACATGGCGATATTGCCGCCCTCCTCCGCCGGTCTCAGCAGCGTCGGCCCAAACACGATGGCGACGCTCTGCACAGACATTCGATTCGACTCGCGCCGGTCAATAACGCTGAAACAAAGAGATGCAAATTAGACGCCATTCATGAAGGAACGCTCCAATCCCATGGCAGCATCACTGAACGATGGCTTGTGATTGGTCACTGTACACGGAGGGGGAGATGTATTCATTCTATACTGGCTGCCAGGCTCAGCGACCAATCAGAATCCATCTTACTAGTGTGACCTCCCCTCATTTGCTGAGCACTGTCACATGACCAGGGAGTGATGTCAGGGGGAGCACAGGCATATTGGGGTCTGGGGGCTTTGCCCTGCATGGTGACAGGGCCTCTTTAAGCAGAATATATGAGTTTTGGATAGAGTGTGGAGGGGTCAGGACCCCTGTCAAGTCTTTATCTAGGTGACCATTGTCTCTGGGCACACACATTGCAGCAAATCTCCCCAAAAGGACCTCTAGAGCCTGCAGTGGCGCCCACTATTTTTCGTCTGGAGATCTACTTTTCAAATGACGAGCTCATTGAGATCTACCAACGAAAACACACCTGCGTTCAGGGGCGGGAGGGGGCG